CGGCGGTACAGCGCGCTCTCGGAGACGGTTTACTCTCTCGGCTGTAACTTCGTTATTTATCGAGATATTGACTTGCAATTTTAACCAGATATTCTTGAGACCTCAAGCATCAAGAAAATGCAAAAAAAAAATCGATTTTTTCGACCATGCTAGGTGTATATCTCCCCTTAATTGAAATCGGAGGTGAGGGGCCTAAACTGAATAATTACTATTTTTTCGGACGATGCCCAAATGAACGGTAGGTAATTAAACAGTGTCCAAATGAACGGTGGGCAATTGAACGATGTCCAACTGAACGGTTGGCAATTGAATAGTGTGCATCTTACTCTGCCTAAATGAACGGTGGATAATTAAACGGTGTCCAAACGAATTTGTGAGCAATTGAACGGGGGGCATTTTTTCGCCTGTCTAAAAGCAACTGTGTCTAATTGAACCGTGTATAAAGTTTCGTGTCCGTTTGAGTAATTATGCAGTATAGAGGGTGCAGCTCGAATGGCCTTGACCTTGACATATGTTGTAGAAGTCACTCTCCTATGTAACTTAAAAAGGTATCAACCATTAAAAAATTATTAACAAAAAAATTTCATTAATGCTATGTGGTTTTACGACATTACATAAGCTAATGTGCACATATAAATACGTACAGTACACGTACATGCGCGGCAGAGGGACTTTATCTTCCGCAAACCCTTTTTTTGTTAACCTAGGGGAAATGCTTTATACATACTCGTACCGTCCTGTCTACTAAAATCCTTGGCGGATATCTTCTGGAGAGCAAGATGAGGGGGGGGGGGGTTCGGTGGAACTGCTTCTAGCATTACTTCCCCGATCCCCCGGCCCTAAGAGGTCTGGTGACTCCTCCTTCTTCGCTAGTCCTTCTATATGAGTGCGGGGGGATCTCTGCTTCCGGGAGGCACCAGCGCCTCACAGCCTGGACGTTCTTGTTACCCGCATGAGGGGGGATGCGGGGGCATCCGCCTCGCCTGTTCCCTGTAGCCCCTTCCTATGATGGGAGAGACGGGATAAGCCTCGTGGGTAAGCATCTTCGGCCACTCCTCTACCTCCTTAACTGAGGAAACAAAGGCAACTAAATACGCCGCATCTGCCTCCTCCTCCTGCCTGGAGTCCTTCCTCCTTCCATCTCTTACTCTTTCGGGATAATATGCTATTTCCGGTCTCATCCTGCCATCCTACACAGTTTCGGCCGCCGGCGTATCTCCGCCCTTGCGGGCCTCCGGTACTCCTCGGGAGTGACCATATGCCTGGGGCCTTTGGAAATATTATCGAGAGCTCCTGCCCTTTACACCCACTTTGGCTCCGGGGAAAAAGGCCAGTCTGGTTTCGGGTATCCCGGACCTCCGACAATCTGGGCACTGTGGAAGACACCGCCACGCGGGGGAGCTTCGCGGACAGACAGGTGCCAAAGGTTTTGCGACCCTTCCAAGGCCCGTCCGCAACGGGCGCCAGCTGCCTTCGCCGCCTAGGGGCATGACTTTAAAGTGTCGCAATCGCGACCTCCAGTTTCCTCCCGTTTCGCTGGAGGGGTAGACAGGCCGCCCGGTCACCGAATGATCGAACCCCATTCACTCCCTAATATTCCCGGGCGCAGCTGCCCACCCGAGAGGCCTGTTGCCATATTGGCATAAGAGATTCGGACGCCCTTTACAGTGGAAGATTTTCATCGCGCGCCGGATTCTCCGGCGGGCGAATCAGACCCCCTTAATGGCAACCGCGAAGCTGCAGATCCCCGCGGCCTGGTTCTCTGTAGGGGTTTCCTTCCTCTAAGCCGTTGTCCGCCAGCGATCCTCATGTAGGGCCTTCCGCTCGCTCGAAGCCGAAAACCCGCTAAGCTATCATTGGATCAAGCTAGAGTCTCTGCAGTAAGGTGGCAGCACGGAAAGACTCTCCGTAACCCTTCCCCAAGAAACTAATCCTAACCTAATCTATTTATTGAAATATAATAATAAATAGACAAATATATGTATATACATAACCGAATTTTTACATTTTTATACATAATTTGTCAATAGAAAACAATATAAATATACAATTACAGTTACTGCTTGCGATATATTTTTGCATATAGTGTAAATTGAAAGATCTCAAACAGTACCTGCATTTATATTCTTATATTGTTTTCTATTGACAAATTATGTATAAAAATATAAAGATTCGGTTACGTATATATATGTATTTATTATCATATTTATTTATTATCATATTTATATTATTATTTATATATATTATTTATTTATCATATTTCAATAGATAGAAGGTTAGGATTAGTTTTTTGGGGAGCTTTTGGGGAAGTCTGCCCTTTCTCCGCGCACGTACGTGTACTGTTTGTTATATTTACTTCATTTTTTAATGTACACTAATAAAACTATGTCGTATTTAAAAAATTTCTTTTATTCATAACTTTTATTCATAACTTTTTAATGACAAATTAGCGGCGGCTAAAACCTTCCAAAAGTTAATTAATAAGATGTCCTTAAACATATGTCAAGATCAAGGTCATCGGAACTGATTCCACTATACTAGATAATTACTAAATACTTCTTTATTAATAACTATTTAATAAACAACGAGCGACGGTTGAAATCTTTTGAAAGTTATTCAGGAGAGTAATCTCTACAGCATATGTCAAGGTCAAGATCATTCGAGTTATATCCCCTATACTGCACAGTCACCAAATTTTTTTTGTTATATTCCGAAGTTAAAAGATTAAGCCAAACCAAGCTACATTTTAGCTGACGCAATTAGTGACGATTAATCGATAGAAGATAGTAAAAGTCCAATAATCTGCAAGAATAAACAGCAAAGAACTGATGTTAAGCTATTAAAAGTGAACATTTATATTTAAAAGATCATGTCTAATGCATGTTACATTAATCTGGGCAACGGTTAAACGAAGTGTTAACAGAAAAAAGTGTCAACGGCAGCACCAAGTACCTTTGAAATGACAAAATAAAAGCGTGACAGCAAATATGTGAGGCAATACGCACGCACCAGTATATTTGTATATAATGTATAAGAAGTCAGAACGATAAACAAAGAATTTATAAATATTAAGAAACAGAAACAGAAAATGTGGCTAATCAGCATATACCATTCACTCAACAATGCAGTATTATTTTGGGCGTTTAATCCATGTTTTTATCTCTTAATAAAAATCGTTCTCTTATAATAATTCTGTTCCTTACGTAAAATTTTCATATTGTCCCAATCAAAATTATGTATATGGAGTAGACGGTGTTCTTGAACCACCGAAAGGTCCGAATATGGATTATTTTGTGTTCCCTTATACGTGTTCACAGTTTTTTGCTCGTTTGTTCCACATATTTTGCATCGCAATTTGTACATTGAAGTTTACGTACACCATTTTTTGGACGTAATAATGTCAGACATACTAATAGAATAACTATCGATATAAATACACACATTTCAGTATATACACATATTATACCTCCCCCCCCCCCTTTCCGCACCACATGCATACACTGAGACATGAATCTATTCAATAATGGATACATATATATATATATATATATATATATATATATATATATATATATATATA